AGTACATAATATAGTGATAATTATATTTGATAAAATATGTATAAGGTTCCTTACATAATTATTGCACAATTTGAATTTATCATATCACACAAAAATGTGTTTCAAATTGCATATTCTGGTGTCTCTAATCGATACTTTCTATGCATCGAATAGATTTTAATTATTAAATCGTTAAAAATCATTATTAATTCTTAATTTTGAACTTAAAAATTAAAAATTAAAAAGTCCCATCACTAAATGCGTCATAGTGGCTAAATAGGTATTGGATTTTCCGAATATCTAGTTCATTGATAATGTTGTCTTGGCATCCAGAATACAGAATTACGTTGACAATATTGTCTTGGCATCTTGTGAAACAAACAAATAAATTCTTTGCAACACGTGCGTGCATGTATAGGCCAATTTAATTCGTTGCAGAGATACGACGTGTATAGGTGAAATTAATTCATTATGGTTTAAGCGCTAGCTAATATTAAGCAGTTTGACAAAATTTATAATACGATTTTTCATTTCATCGTAGTTAATGGACAAGTTATTAATTTTTCCATTCAATCCAATACTGCAATAGTTCGAAGTAAAGTATACCAAAAAAATGAAAAAAAAACAATATAGAAAATACAATTTATAAAAACAATTTATAAACAATATTATATTGAATGTTTTACTATATAAATATCTTAGGGTATATTTTCTAATGTAAGTTTCCGCATTTTGTTAAGCCACTTCTAATACGTAAGCAATACTAATCTCCGAATTTTTTATAAAATGCCCAAACAATACGCGAAAATGGCCCGATGCTCACGAGACTGTAAGACGTATACAATAAGATTGTACGTATTACAAATTGGACGACGTTGAAAACGATGATGCCGAAATTAAGATCTATTTAATGTACGATTTTTAAATTTTTTGGGATACGTTTAATTTTGGGTTAAGGCTTATAATAGGCGGATTTTAGTAGGGTTTATATTTTCTAAATTAAGGCTCTCAGATTTCATCATTATCCGCAACATATAATAATAACACTAGCTTTTTTAATAAGGCGATAAATTCAATATTTATTTTTGAGATGTGTACTTTATTGTTTTTGATATTTATTTTTCTAATCCCTAATTTTGAATGCGCAGAAAATGCGGTTCCTTACAGACCAGCAGGGAGAACAGAATTCATGTCCGAGCTTATATCTTATAAGGTCTATTATTTTGGTGGATATGGAGTTAACGGTGCAATGAATGATTTTTTTTTATATTGACTTGACGCAACCATTTGATAGTTTTTCACCTCCATATCAATTCATAAAATATTTAGATTTTAGGGGTGGAGCTAGTGCTAGCTCTGATGCAAATACTATATATGTTTTTGGTGGTTACAGTAGCAATGGTCCACTTACTAATACTGAACTTTATATAATGCAATCACTTCCAACGGGTTCAGTAATAATTTATATTCAAGATACGAACTCAACACCATCCTCTAGAAAATGGCATACCTCTGTGATTGATCATACGAATAAAAAAATGTATGTTTGGGGTGGAGAAAAAGTATTGTACAGCGGGTATTTAAATATTTATATAATAGTTTCATTCATACTTGTCTTGTGTAAGCCGGAGAAACTAAGGTCGGTCTAAAAACTTTTATGAAAAAAGGTATAACTTGGTAATTGAATACTTGTACAAAATCCAACGCTATTGTAAAATATTGAAATTTCCGTTTAATTAAGACAAAATTCTGACATAATTTTAAGCGATCGGAAATTTTCGTCATTCGGCAAGGTTTTTTGGCCATAAGTTTCTAAATTCAACTAAAGGACGTCAGAAAAAAAACTGGCCACATAACTGCATAACTTTACGTAATGATTGAATATAAGCGAAAGAAAGTATAACCGTATAGGCTGCTTACTTATCATATTTTTCTAGAATTTTGCTTATATCAATTACTCCTTCACGCAATGTAATATTTCATGTACATACAGATTTGTTAAACCAAGTACTCCGGTTTATACAAGCTTATCGTATAAAATCATTCTGTAATTACTAATACGACGTATATTTAAGACCTATTATCACTCAAAGTGACGGAACTATGTACATATATGATATTGAAAAATCCATCTGGACTTCAAATCCCACTCCCAATCAACCTATAGGTCGTCAACTTCATACAGCAACTTTATTGCCTGATGGACGGATAATAATGATTGGTGGTGCTTTTAGTTCAGATGTAGGACAGGTATGAAATGATATATTGTAATGCGAATATTAATATTCTGTCATCAAAACCGAGTTAGCAAATCAGATTATTTTCCATGAAAGAGTAAATAATTTTCTAATTGAAAGAATCTTTATTTGTTATATTTTAAAGCTTGATGTATATGACACGAAAGTCAGTCAGTGGATAAATATTGTGCGTAATTTATTTTCGTTCATTTTTACGCGTTCTCTTAAAATACTTAATTTCTAACAAAATGTAGACAGCAACAAAGTACGGTTTTATTCCTCCCATTGGTTCTCACTCAGCAACTTTATTACCTGATAATCAGAATATAATCATATATGGTGGTGGTAATCAAACTGAATATTCTGGTCTAGCAGTTCTGAATACTGTAAACTATGTGTGGACAGTTATATCTCCAACTGGAAATCCACCGTCCGTACTTTCAAATGCCCATAGAGCTACACTCTATTTTGATGTCATAATTTTTGCATTCGGTAAATATTATGAACTAGTTTATTTCTCTAATATTTGACAAAAGATTTATGAATTTACTGTATCTAGGTGGTTTCTCTATCAATAGTTCTCGTTATCTTATGGATACCACAATAAGAATTCTCAATATCTCAAATGGTCAGTATAAATGGGTTGATTCATTCACTCCTCTTCCAACTCTTCCGAATCCGAATGTTCAGACCTCAAACGCAAATTTAATTATTATTGTGTCTACTATCGGTGGTATTGTATGCGTCGTAATATTAGCGTTACTTGTGTATATCATTCATAAGAGAAAGCAATCAGAAAAAATGAAACGCTTTGCAAGATGAACCAACTATCAAAACCATAATCGGTTCATTGGTTTAAATATCGCTGGTAGTAACCTAGTTAATAAGTGCTCCGCTCTAATACTCGGTAAAATAATTGAGTTTAAATTTTCATAACCCTAATTGTTCAGACCAAGTCTTTCCACGTCTCAATCGACGTCTTCTATTACTGAAGTTTAGGATTAGGGTAGTATTTTTTTAGTTAGTACTGCATTAGTTGGTTTGTAATAAAAATATCCTGATCCGTTGGGTATTAGCGGAAACGAAGTTTCCGCTTGTACACATACGGTCAGGGTATTTTTACTAAATATCCAGTGATCTTGATATAGTGATCGGGGTATTTTTACAAGTATATAGGTCGTAGAAACTATTTCGACACTGATTTTTGATATGAAACTCTTATGTACTCTCAGAGATAATGCCGAAATAGTTTCTGTAACATAATTAGTTACAAGTGTGTCCCATATTGATAATCACTGATTCTGAGCCAGTTATCTCCGTTACAACATAACGTCGTATAATCATACAATTGATTTACAAGAGCGTGGAAATACTAGTTCTTGTTTTTATTATGTAAACAATTTATTAATAAATCAGTGATTAACACGAATTCACATAGTTATTACATTTTCTGATTTAAACATCTAGCTATTTCGCATGTGATATATCAGCTTTACTCATTTCCATAGGTGAGTGAAATTTTTGACATGGCTAAATGCCCACGAGACTGTAAGACGTATACAATAAGATTGTATTACAAATCTTACAACTGTTAAAGTAGGATGTTGCTGAAATCGGATGATGCTGAAATCGAATGATACTAAAATTACGACCTATTTAATGTACGATTTTTAAATTTTTTTGGGATACGTTTTAATTTTAGGTTCTTTTTTTTTCCTTTTTTTTTAGATTTGAATTAGGATTTGGGTTAGGTTTATAATAGGCGGATTTTAGTAGGGTTTATATTTATAAATTAAGGCTCTCAGATTTCATCATTATCAGCGACATATAATAATAACACACTAGCTTTTTCAATAAGGCGATAAATACAATATTTATTTTTGAGATGTATACTTCATTGTTTTTGATATCTATTTTTCTCATATCTAATTTTGAATGCGCAGAAAATGCGGTTCCTTACAATCCAGCAAAGAGAACAGAATTCATGTCCGAGCTTATATCTGATAAGGTCTATTATTTTGGTGGATATGGAGTTAACGGCGCAATGAATGATTTTTTTTATATTGACTTGACGCAGCCATTTTATAGTTTTTCGCCTTCATATCAATTCATAAAATATTTAGATTTTAGGGGTGGAGCTAGTGCTAGCTCTGATGCAAATAATATATATGTTTTTGGTGGTTACAGTAGCAATGGTTCACCTATTTATGAACTTTATATAATTCAATCACTCTCAACAGATTTAGTAATAAATTATATTCAAGATACGAATTCAACACCAATTATGAGAAAATGGCATACCTCTGTAATTGATCATACGAATAAGAAGATGTATATTTGGGGTGGAAATGAGGCATTAAACAACATGTATTTATTTAATATAAAAGTCTCATACATGTTAATCTTGTATAAGCCGGAGAAACTAAAGGTTTAGCCAAAAAAACTTATGCAATAGTTGTATTCAGGGTATAAAAAATTTACTAGAAAGTATAACTGACATATGCAACCGATACAGCAATTATATTTTCCTAATAAATTTTTTGCTTATACCCAATTATCAAGGATATAACTGATTATTCCCTGCCATCCACATAACATAAATATTCCTACATTTATAGTATTTTAAGTTTTTTTTTTTGGATTGTCTTTTACATTGAAGATTAAATATGGATTTATACTCAATCACCCAATTAATACAGTAGATATACGATAGTAGAAATAAGTACATAAAAAAGTTACATGGATGGTGTATAATTCTGATTAAATTACTATACCAAGTTATTCCGGTTTATACAAGCTTGCGTAAAATCAATCTGTAATATTAACACTTATATTTATATTTAAGACCTGACATCACTCGAAGTGACGGAACCATGTACATATATGATATCAAACAATCTACTTGGACTTCAAATCCTACACCTAACCAACCTATAGGTCGTCAACTTCATACAGCAACTTTATTGCCTGATGGACGGATAATTATGATTGGTGGAGTCTTTAGTTCAGACATAGGGCAGGTAAGAAATGTTAGTGCTGTCGTGAGAATAAATTTTAATTGACTAACACCAGATTAGTTAGTTAATAGATTATTTTTTTAATTAATAACGATAATAATTAATCTACTAATTGAAGATCTTTATTTCTATATCTAAAGCTTGATGTATATGATACGAAAACTAATCAATGGACAAATATTGTATGGATTATAATCAATTCATTTTTATATTTTATTTTTACGCATTCTGTTAAAACGATCAATTCTAGGTGGCAACAAAAAATGGGGTTATTCCCCCCATTAGTTTTCACTCAGCAACTCTATTACCCGATAATCAAAGTATACTTATATATGGAGGTGTCAATCAAACAGGGTATCAACCAGGATATTCTGGTCTAGCAGTTCTGAATCTTTCAAATTTTGTGTGGACAATTATATCTCCGGCTGGAAGAGCACCATCTTCACTTTCAAGTGGCCACAAAGCTACATTGTATTTTGATGTAATAATTTTTGCATTCGGTAAATATTATGAACTAGTTTATTTCTCTAATATTTGACAATAGATTTATGAATTTACTGTATCTAGGTGAATATCCTTTCAATAACTCTCGTTATCTTATGGATACAACAGTAAGAATCCTCAATATATCAAATGGTCAGTATAGATGGGTTGATTCATTCACTCCACCTCCAACACAAAACCAAAGTACGAATATTCAGAATCCGATTGTCCAAACTTCAAACTTAAATATAATTATTATTGTATCTACGATCGGTGGTATTGTATGCATCGGAATATTGGTATTAATTGGATATATTATTCATAAGAAAAACCGATCAAAAGAATTCACAGATGTAACGGAAAGTAGTAATGAAATCAGATATGGAACGGAAAGTAATAATGAAGTCAGAAAAATGACTCAATAAAACCAAAACAATACTTAACGTTAAAAGACAAAAACTATTTTAGTAAAAATCATATGCATATATAATCGCCACAAAAATGCCATGTGAATGTTTTAAAATGAGTAATTTGTGCATGTATTTTTTAAAAAAACCTTTTGTTATATATGTATGTATTATATCTATATACTGTACCTATATGATAATAAAATTAATTCATGAAACATTTTATTTGCTACAATAAAAACTTTGAATCTTTAAATGTTATTGGCAAAAAAAAACGCATTTGAAATTTTGTTGTAGCAGATAATGAGGCCAATGCCTTGAGAGCAATATTGCTGGATGGTCACGTGTCTTACATAATTATTATCACCACCATCAACTTTTCGAATGCCATCCAACTAGGTTGCTTTGCATACAGAGCCATCCTCCTTTGCCGATTTCTTTAACATCAGATAATCTATCAAATGGAATCCATTCAATCACGTTTTCATAACTCCAGGTTCTAAGTTGTAATTCTTTCATGCAATTTCTTTATTTCCAATTGTCCGTCTTGTTGTTATATCGGGGTCGCATGATATACACCATGCTGGTTTCGTGGTATCTTCATTACAATGTGCATCTTTTCCATATTTAGATTCGCTATAATATACAGGGAACTAACACTTATTACGTAATTATAGGGTCCTCTCTGACCCAGGTATTTGGAACCCTTATATAATTTTATGCATCCCTTGCATAATTACGCATAAAATATGCATACTTATGATACTTATGCATGATTATGCACAATTGCAAGAGGCGCATAAAATTATTCAAGTGGTTCCAAATATCCGGATTAGAGAGTGGACCTATAATAAGTGTTAGTACCCTTTTGTTAATTCCGCATTTGCAGGTTTATTTTTTTTAAAAAAAATATTAACAGTGAGGTCATGCCTTTAACTTTATCGAAATTCAATTGAAGTTTTTACAAAGAAAAGCTTGCTTTTAAATTATATATAAAGAATAAAGACTCAGACATATAATCTGTGAT